ATTCAGTTCAGTTTCCATTCAGTGTAGAGAAACAGACATCTAAATGAAAATCTAGTCCCTCAGTTATCTTTCTTTCATACTTGTGTATGAATATGATGCCACTGTCAGGGCTCCAGCAAGATCTACAAGCTCTTCCTTTCACTTCCTTGGGGTTTGCTACCTGTTCAAGATCAGCTCCAATAAGATGAACCTTGGATAAGATGTCCAGGAGAAAAGCAAATTTAATGAGGAAGAGCTTTGAGGAGGCTTGGATGGGGCTCCAGCGTCGGGCCAGGCTGCCTGAGTTGGGATGGCCTTGCATGACTGCCATGACCTCCCCTGGCTTGGCCTCAGCTGGTCCTTTGCCAGGCCAGGGGGGGCTACACCTGGGGGCGAGGGCACCCCAGCTCCCCAAACCCTTCCCCTATCCAGCACCCTGCCCTGCTGCTCCCTGAGAACTTCAAGCGATGAGGCTTCCCCAGGAGCTGGGTAGAGTCTAAATAGCTGGTTACACAGGGCCAGGCCGTGGATCCAAGGGCCACTGAAGTACGATTCGTACTATTAATTGCCAGCATGGCCTTTTGAAAAGCTTTGGCATTGGTCTGATACTATTCTACCATATATTTTAGGGATTAAAATGGGTTAGGAGGAATTCCTAAGATGCAATTTGGATGCGACCATTTGGTTGCAGAGTTTAGAAAGCCCAGATGGACAATTATTTGGTTATACTGTACCTCAGGGCCAGAGAATTTTACTTACAAGTGACCCTGTGAATGTGAGAACCATGAAATCACCAGAAGCCAATAGAAGAGCAGAAAAGAGGCAACAGGAAAAAATGACCACAATTATCTTATTGAGTTATCCACCACTGGATAAAAATGGCAAACAAAAGCTGTCCAAGGCTAAAGGATCAAAATCACAGAATCACAGAATAGGTAAGATTGTAAATGGCCAGTGTGAGTCATCTAGTCCAACGTCCCTGCTCAAGCAGGGTCATCCTAAAGAACATGGCAAAGGGTTGAGTTCAGACGGTTCTCGAATATCTCCAATGAGGTAGACTCCAAAACCTTTCTGGGCAGCCTGTTCCAATGCTCAGGCACTCACATGGTAAAGTTCTTCCTCATGTTCAGGTGGAATTTCCTTTGCATCAGTATCTGCCTGTTGCCTCTTGTCCTGTTGCAGGGCACCACTGAGAAGAGCCTGGCTCCATCCTCTTGACACCCTCCCTTCAGAGATTTGAAGTCCCCCTCAGTAGCCTTAAGGCTGAATAGGCCCAGCTCCCTCAGCCTATCCAAAATCTCATGATTGTCCCAGATTAGTTAGACGGAGAAACTGTAGTTAATTGTGCAGTGTGCTTGCTGCTATATGGCTACTAAGGCACATGTTTACCCAACAGCAGGGCACGTTTATCCACAATATCCCAAATCAGAACATTTAGTCCTGCATGGTATGTGGACAACATGTATGCAAAGCTGTTTGCAAAAAGTGAACCACTCTACCATTGACTTTTGTTGTAGTCCAGATGACAGGCTCCTCAAAGGACCAGCATCCATGTCTCTGAGGCCTTAGGTACACTGAGACGGTAATAAAGGTATATGCACAGAAGAAATACATATGGAGTATGCCACTCTAGAGAATTTCAGGTGGAGAAGATTCTTCCTGATACCCTTTGTGTCTGGGTACTTATGGGCAGTCCAAACTGCAAGCTGAAACAGAGAAGAGCTTTCAGGCATCTGAGATTCAACATCAACTGAATTGTAATGGGCTGATTTCAACAATCTAAACTTTATAACAGATAGGAAAGTTCCCTTCCTTATCATCCCTTATTTTATCTCTGGTTGTTTTTTGAAACGTATTTCCCTAAATTTTTCTGCACAAAATGTTCTCCACTCATTAAAATCAATGGTGGTTTCAGCTCCACTTTTAGCAACAGGGGTCCAAAGCTCCCTCAGCTCAAGGCAGGATGATAAGAACATTTAAAAAATAAGGTTTTAAAAAATAAGCTACTGGGTATCTATTTTGTTACATATTTTAAGAGTTTTTCACTGTATTAAATTAAACATAAATGCAACAGTGACAAAATGCCAAGGATGGAAAAAGGCACAAAAAGAAAAAATAGCAATAGAAAAATGTAAATTCACTCCCTCAGAGTAGACCAGGACAGAACTAGAGATATTATCAGATTTCTTTCCTTTGCTTGGAATGCAGAAAAAATTGTTAGGGTTGGTAACAATGAACTAGGGTTAGTAGAATCGCAATTCCCATGTCCTGGTGCAAGGAGAGATTATGGCCCTGGTTAATGAGGCTGAAGCTGGTCAGTGGGAGTGTGAAAAGTGATGCTGCACTGCCAGTGCCATCATCTGAGAGCAGCCAAGCCTGCATTCACTGCCTTGCTAAATAAGACCCCGTGAGCTCCCTGAAGTTAAATATCTAAAGGAGATGATAAACCTATTAATCAGATTAGTTCAGGCAAAACAAACATCTCCAGTAGTGAGATGCTTGTTTTAATCACAGCTATATATAGGTATGCTTATAAGTTTGGGGGTTGTTGGTTTGTTGGTTGATGTTTTCTGGGTTTTTTCTAAGGCAACTTCTTGACATGTATTAATTCAAAACTGTGATTGAAGAGAAGCTGAGGGAAAAGTTCTTCTTGAGGGGTGGAGGCAGAGCATGAAGAGAACTAAAACGAAATGAGAAAATGGGTATTGGAGTTGTGTTGAATAGAGGTCATGGAGAGAGATATTGTAAAAGATTGTGTTTCAGCAAGAGGCATAATACCCTCACTGATCAGACTTGCAAAAGCACAGAAGGCCCCCCCAAAAATGGTTAAAATTTGGCAGGAGTTATTCCACCTAGTTAGAAGTACAGAGCCTTTCTTATACCCAGACTCCATCCTTCTGCACCTGCAGCTTGCTGAAGCAGCCTGTTCTCCGCTATGTTGCACGAAAAGGATGAAATAATGTTTTGTTTGTTTAGAACTATCTAAAAATTACTCCACATAGCCTTGATGATTGGCAAATGTGGGAAGTGTGAACTGTGCGAGTGCAACCTAGAAAGATGCAGACTTTGAACGGGAAAAAATGTAAAGTGTTTAGAAAACAGAAACTGTTGATGAAGGTCTATGGAAAATGGCTTTCAATTTGGACTAGCTTTAACAATGAAGCACATGAACAGTTATCAAAAAAAGTCAAAATATTTAAACACTGCTTTACAACCTTAACTCTAAACCTATTAGAGTGTTTTCATAATTTAATTTAAAATGTTGCAGTTGAGGAGGGTCATGCTGTAAAAGAACATATAATTTCTGACAATCATTAGAAAAGTATTTACACAATTCCAAAAATAAATAACATCCATCTGTTATACTCAGTCCTGTGAAAGTTTAAAATGCATATTTTAGAAAATCTTTTTCTTTTTTTTTCAAATTAACTTTCTAGTTTTGCAGACCCTGAATGCTACATTCTTAACTGCTGTAAATCAGCTTAATTCCTGTGAGTCTCTGGCCATAGTCCCGGGTGTATGAGACATGGGAAGTCTGTAACCATCAACAGATTAGTATAATTGCCACAGTGAAAAAATAACTAATGCCAGTCTTTGAATGTCACTAAAAACACCCTTTTTTTCTCATCCATTTATGTTGTGATGCCTTTGCATATGTTAAAAAAAATGATGAGAACAAAGAGATGCCCTTCTAGAAAAACAGATATATCAATATTTGAATAGCTAAGGAAAAGGGTCATTTTTCTAAGAAACTCAGTATTTGATCCATTTGAACTTGGTTATACAGCTTGTACCCTGAGAAACTGAAATTCACTATATTTATTTAAGGATGTACTTCTCTCTATCACAAGAATAAAGTGATGGCATTATTGTTCTCAGTTAATTAAACCTGAAGACTGGGAAAAGGACAGCAGTAAAGAGAGATATTATCCACTGAAACACTGAAAGCAGAAATACTTATATCTAGATGACAAAACTATTTCCACTGTGAAGAAAGTAGTAGATTTACTTCTAGCTAAAAATGGTACTTTAATATGATTCACATCTGAACCAAAGAACGTCATTAAATTTTTTCATGAAGTGTCTTAAAATATTTAAATTCTCACTTTTCAGAAGTTCGCATGGTTAGAGCAGAAGACTAAGAAGTCGGAAGAACCAGGTTACAATCCTATCTTTGACAAAAACTCATGGGAAAAGGGTGGTCAAACGGACTAATAACTTCTGAGTTCCATTTCCATAATGTGCAAAATTAGATGGTTAAGTGTGCATTGTTATTGGCCACTACAGGTGATGGATTTTAGATTTCATACATTTTCCAAGGAATGGACTGCTACTGTCAGGCAGTCTCATATTTTACTTAAACCATAGAATGTCTGAGGACACGTCACATCTGAGGACAACCCACAACCGCTACTTCATTCAGATATGGAAAGACAAATAGAATCATTTCACCTAATGTCAACCATCAAACATTCCAAGCTCACATCTAGGCGATGGCAAGAGACAATGGCAAGGCACCTCCCTCAGTGTAATTCCTAAAACAGGAGGCACAGCAACCAAGACGAGAAGCCCTCTGGAAATGCCTGTCTCTCCTCACCAAAGGGAAACCCAGGCTATCAGCTTAGACCGCTCAGGGGCAACCTGAGGTCGCTGAAGGGCAAACCCACCTCCAGCCTCGAGGGACGGAGCAACCCTTGGCCACACCGCCCCACCTGCTGAACCTGGGCGGGCTAGATGGATGAAAATGACTTTTAAAAAAATTTCTTTTTATTTCCTCTGGTGCAGGGGTTGGCTTTACAGCGCCTTCACGCAGTGGTCCAACGCCCTTTCCCCGGCGAGGCCCGCCTGTGCAGCCCCGGGGCAGGCGCGGGTCGCGCTCCGGAGCCCGGCGAGGCCGTAAGACGACCCAGCCCCGCCAGCGCCGGGCGCGGCGCGGCCAATGAGCGGGGCAGGGGCGGGCTCGGCAGCGGCGCCGCCGGTACTTAGTGCCGCCGGAGGGGCCGGGCCGCCCAGAGCGGCGCGGGCGGAGGAGCCGGGTGGCGGCGGCTGTGGCGGCGGCAGCGGGGAGGACAGAGCTCGCGTCCTTCTGCGGCGCCCATGGGGACAGGACGACTTTAAAGGAGTTTGGGGGGGTTCTGGCGCTGGGCGACCACGGGTACGGAGGGGTACGGGAGGGATCCCTCGGGTGTGTGGGGGGGGTGCCGCTCTCCTGCTCTCTTCCTCTTCTTTGCCGGGTCCCGGGCGGGCTGTGGGGAGAGGGCGGGCAGGGGTGCCAGCCTCGGGGGCTCCTCCAGCCGCCTCCCCGCAAGCGGCTCGGCTGTGCTGGCGGAAGGGAGGGCTTGGGACCCTCCGGCCAGACCCTCCTGGAGCCCTCTCCCCTCGCAGGGTCGGGAGAGGAGACTCCCGGGGCAGCTCGGTCCCCCCGCGCACCGCTGGCGGGCGGCGGGAGCCTCCTCCTCTGCCGCCGCTGGGAGCCGGGCGCTCCGGTACCATGGGGAGAGTGCCGGGGAGTCGAGGCTCTGCCCTGCCCCGCACCCCGGGGGCAGGGGGAAGGATCCCCACTGGAAGTTTATCCCTTGCACGGAGGGGAGGGAAGCAGTTGGGGAGGGATAGGGGCTTAGGGCGGAATCGCTGAAGTCTTTTGTATGTGCCCTGGTTTAATTTTTTTTTTCTTTCGTTCTTTCTTCCCTCCGCTTGCACTCTCCTTCCTATCTCTTGTTCTCTGTCTATGCCCACCCCACCCTCTTTCAGATCCGGCGATTCCTGCCCTCGCCTCGCCCTGTCATTGATGGGAAATCAACTGGATCGCATCACCCACCTGAATTACAGCGAGCTGCCGACCGGGGACCCCTCGGGGATCGAGAAGGACGAGCTACGCGTCGGGGTGGCTTACTTCTTTTCGGATGAGGAGGAGGACCTGGACGAGCGAGGCCAGCCAGACAAGTACGGCGTGAAGGGCTCCGGCAGCCCTGGCCAGGAGACGCCCACCCACCACCTCCACCACCAGCTGGTGCTGAACGAGACCCAGTTCTCCGCTTTCCGCGGCCAGGAATGCATCTTCTCCAAGGTCAGCAGCGGCCCCCAGGCTGGGGACCTCAGCGTCTACTCGGTGTCAGCCCTGCCTGCCCTATGCAAGCCGGGGGACCTGCTGGAGCTGCTCTACCTGGGGCCGTCGGAGCACCCTCCGCCGCACTGGGCGGTGTACGTGGGCGGCGGGCAGATCATCCACCTGCACCAGGGGCAGATCCGCCAGGACAGCTTGTACGAGGCGGCCGCGGGCAACGTGGGCCGGGTGGTGAATAGCTGGTACCGCTTCCGCCCGCTGGTGGCGGAGCTGGTGGTGCAGAACGCCTGCGGGCACCTGGGCTTAAAAAGCGACGAGATCTGCTGGACTAACTCCGAGAGCTTCGCCGCCTGGTGCCGCTTCGGGAAACGGGAGTTCAAAGCCGGGGGGGAGCTGCAGGCGGCTGCCGGCACCCAGCACCAGCAGCAGTACTATCTCAAGATCCACTTGGCAGAGAACAAGGTGCACACGGTGAGGTTCCACAGCCTGGAGGATCTAATACGTGAGAAGCGCAGGATCGATGCCAGTGGCAAACTGAGAGTGATCAAAGACCTGGCTATAGTGGATGGGAAAGAATAGGGAGGAGCAGGAGTACATGGCTATCTTCTTTCTGCCCTGCCCGGGGAGACCAGCCTGCCACAGAGACAGGAGGCTGCACCTTCCTTCCATGGGACACGACTGGAAGCAGGATCCATGGCAACATTCCAAAAAAAACCAGCATTCTTTATGCCCATAGCCAGTATTTTGTTTGGCTTTTAATAGCATTAATGCTGAAAGAGCGAGAGGGAGGAAGAAAAGGGGGGAGGTGCAGGAAGGCTGTTCTCAGAGTACATGGACGGAGTCTCTCCTGTCGATTGATGTTGACCATGCTAGCAACATGCCAATAAAATTTCAAATTGAAATTTCTTTATTTTTTATTTCATGGCTTTAATCCATGATAAGTTTTAAACATCTGGGACCGTGGATGTGGATCTAGCTTAATGAGATTCTAGCTAATACTTGCAGTCAACCAAAAGTATCAGTCATACTTTGTGAACTGGGAGTGGAAGAGGGTGTTGGGGTGGAGGATAAATGCCTGTTTGTTTTGTTTCTCAACATGTTGCTTCAGCCTGTAGCTGCAGCTCAAATGTTGTCCCAGCCGACTCTGGCAAGTAACTTACGGAGGAAAATACTTTCATATTTCTGGTTGAAATCTATCACATTTAAAATATTTGCCTTTCTTTCTGTTTGCAGCTCCCTGCTAAATGTCGTCATAATGCATAAGCTCTTTCCACCTCTTCCCTTCTCCCACCCTTCCTGCCTTTTCTCTTCTGAAAAAAAAAAAAGTTGGTGAGCAGCAGTTTTCCTCAAACTAAATTCACTGGTTAAAAGAAGTGGTGTATTTTGGAGAACAGTATACTCTGTGTTGCTCCTTGGAGATCCAGCCTCTAGGATCTCATGCTTGAGCTGTGGATTTGTATCGCTGTAGTGATTCTCACTGCACCACTGCTTCAATACCTCTTCATGCACAGGTCAACAGAATCCTGCAAGAAACAAATAATTTTGAATTCTGCATGTTGCCTCTTTGAAACAGCAATTTATTGCATATTTACTATTCCACTTAAAGGAAGTAGATGTAATGTGGCCAAGTTCATCTTGCATTTCGAATTCCCAGCAACTAAAAATTCTGAGTGTAAGTTTAGAAATCCACAGTAGCATTTAAAAGATGCCTTTTAATGTGATGTGAGCAATGCCTTGTCTGTATTTCAGATCTTGTTCACTCATTGCTTAATTCTAAGTTTTGAATTGAAAGATCAGAGAATTAAATATATATATCTTTTAAAAATTAAAACAAGTATACTGGGGCATTTCTTTTTATTATTATTCTGAGCTGCATACAACTTGTAATGAGCATTTTGTCTTTGCATGTTTCAATGCTGGAAAGAAAATGCATTTGTTTTTGTCCTCTCTTCCCATATCAGTGTCAGACAACAGAAGAGAAGTAATACCCCTCTTTTGTATCTACGATACACTCCACCCCCTATCAATGTACTGTGGTTTGGTTTGTTTTTTTATATTAAACAGTGTCATAAGCAACCTTGTTACAACAGTAACTTCATTTCTACAAACATTTGCCTCCGATAGCTGAAGCTGTGAGGGTGGAGTGTACTTCATTATAATAAAAGTATCAGCATAAATATCCTAAAAATAAAACCAAAAAAAACCCAAACAAAACCCCCTCCAAACGTCCACCCACAAAAATGCACCCTCTCAGTGAAGGTCATCTAACTGGCTTTGTACTTTCTGATACACTTGGCAAAGTTATGTGGTAACAGCCAGTGTTACTCTTATCCCCTCCCCTAAAGTACCTTGTTTTGTACAGTATAGGGAAAAAATGTGAATTGTAATTACTATTGAAATAACCTCAAACCACAGGATACCTTTTAATAAATGTGTAATGTTTTAGCTTTATACAGGCAGTAGTTGCTGTTTGATGATGATAGCTTTTCCCATTACATGAACAGAGTCTGCTACATAGTAGTTGTGTATCTTAATTATTTTACTCATTTCAATCTCCTAAATTGTCTGTTAGAATTGATTTCCCTATACCATTTGGTGGGAGTGCCTTGGGATTGCAGAAAAGCACTGGTTTTACAACAAGGCACTTAAAAAAAATTAGCAAGTGGTAGGAGAAGGAAAGGTGGGCAAAAGCAATTTATTCTAATTTTTCCTTTTAAAGCATATGCTTTAGAGATATGAGGTTGTAAGAGTCAGGGAGAATGACATGAAGAGGGAATAAGTAACAGTGTTAATGAATGAAGGCAAGAAGAATGAAGGAGAATCATGGTGTTATTGTTGATTTCTGGAATGCTTTTTCTTCAAATTGCTGTTAGATTAATAGCACAGCATTAGGCAGAGGTTCCTTACAGGAACAGCATTGTGCATCCTCACTAGTGAGAATTTAAAACATGCTGGCTTTAAACTTTTCACTGTGCTTTCTGAATACTCTGTCACTCTACTAAACCATTTTAACTCTTGATTATTTTATAAGGATTTACTAACCTGGTTCATAAACATGACAGTTTTCCTTGTTTTACCTATCTCAATGTAGAATGGTATTTTATAGTATATAAAAGAAGTGATAGGAACTAGTGTGTGCTTATTTATTCAAGAACTGTCAGAAGTCTTTGGCATAACTCCAAATTTGTGCAGATAAAGGTACAACAATATAAGGCCTTAGTCCTTTGCATAAGGACTGGAGAAAATACACTGGAAATAGTACAAGTGGTATTAACCTAAGATAGAGTATTGCCATGACTATGTTCAGGTAGCAGTCTGTAATTAACAAGGGTACACATACACTTTATTTTCTTGTTTTTTCTCGCTAAATTTCAGTCCAGAGCTATTGACAGCAATCTGGTCCTGATTTGTTGAATCCACTGAAGTTAAGGAAAAGGCTTTTGCTGACTTGAGTGAGCTTTGGATCAGTTGTAAGAGGTGTTAAAAATTTTTGGACCTTGAGGAAGAGTGAGATTTAAGATGACATTTCAGGGACCAGAAGGGCCACCTTTCTGAGATGGGAGACAGGGGACACAGGCAACACTGAGAAAACAGGGGAAGAAAACGGACTAGCTCTGAAACAAGCAGAGTTAACCTGAGATGGCAGTAGGAAATCTGTGAAAAAGACTGAGTGAAAAGCAGATACAAAAAGTTGTTCAGTGCCTTGAAACAAGAAATGGAAGGCTAGGGAGCAGTCAGCTGCAAGAAAGCCAATGATGTGAATGACTGACAGGTAAAAAACATAATTGATTATACTCATCTTTCAGGATCAGTGGCCTGCAGGAGTTAACATTTCCATTTCCAGCAGTAAAGATATTGACAAATTGTATTATATCTATGGAATCTGTTTGCATTCTTCAGTCTAGCTACCTAGGGTAAATATTTACATCTCATTCATTCCTCTTGAAGTACTAACTTGTAAAATGACAGCAATGTCAGGATACTTTGCTTGTCTTTCTTCTGTGTCACGTTTCAAACTTTCTGTTAGTTCTTTGGGTAAGAGTTCTATAGAATTTTGCTTAGACACAATTTTCTTTCTCTTTTCAAAATGCCATCTTTTGAATAGCTTTGAGACTGCCGTTTTATTAAAAATTCATTTTATGTCCTCTTAAAACTTAGAGAACCTTTGTGAAATGTTTTCCTGTCATGACCAAAATGCTTACTGTTTGTTGACTGCTTACTGGGAGAGGGCTATAAGGATGTGTGGCAAAATAGGTTTTGCCACTGTCAAATTTTGTCTCCATCTCCATCTTATGTTTCCAGATTACTTTGTTTTCATTCGTTAAAATTCTTTTTTTCCTTCTGTCTTATGGTTATATAAAATTAAAAAAAAAAAAAAACACCAAAAAAAAAAAAAAAACCCAAAACCTTCATAGCATAATTTTTATGGCAATATGCTATTGATCCATATAGTGGATTTCAGGTTAAAAGAAGGTGCAACAAGACATGGCCCTTGGTTTGTGGTAGAGTGTGAACAGTCCTAATTATCCTGCCTCATTTCACTTAATTGTCTTTCATATTCAGGTAAGTAATGTGCAAAACTCTGCCAGAGTTTATAGACCTGTTTATGTGATGTATTGAACATCTGTAACTCCAGCCAATGTTTGCTGGAGTTGAAGGAATGCTGTATCTCACTGAAGACACAGCATCTTGTGGGATCACGTACCTCAGCCTGCCCAGTTCCCCACCCTCTGTCTGCACCTACAGAGGAAGTAGCAGTCTGGGGTAGCTGCTCCTAGTTTCAAGATTTAGTTATTTTCTGTGAAAGATTTCTACTAGAGCAGCTTATGGACAGGGTTCTGCCTGTAATTATACTTGGATGTGACTAAAAAGTTTTGTGTGTTGCTGCTTATGGTGTGAAGACTGTACTTTCTGGTTTAGAACCCAGGAGAAAGATGGAAGTCCCAGTACCAAAGAATTAATCCAGAAATATGTAAGGAGGTATGACTGGGCTACCATGCTGAGGGCAGGTTCACTTCAGAATTAGAGTTTAAAGAATAATGTATGACTACAGTGAGATCAAGTGCTGTTGTTAGTTCAAGTGTCAGTGTTTCCATGGCAGGTCTGAAATTTATTTGCTGACTTTATTATTATGAAATATTTAATTTTTCTGTACTTTGATTTCAAATTTGACATGTAAAGCTATCCTGTGTTCATGGATCCTCTAACATGATGTTATTTTTTTCCGTCAGGTTTTTTTTACAGTCCTATTGTCAAGAAAATTAATTAATACTGGGATCAAGTACTTAACTGCTTGTAAATCAAAAAGAGAGTAGTATAGATGTTACATTGAAAAAAAAAGAATGAACTAAGAATCTTCTGTTACTGGGCATATCCATGGATTTGTTTCAGGTTATATAGATATAATCTATACAGTTATAAAATGCCAGTGCTGTATTTTTTTAAGTGGTTGTGGCTTTCTGCATTATCTCTTTGCAAAATAGTATTATCTTGTCTAAATAACCCAAATCCCCGGTGAAGTTTTATTTTTTATATTGAAATGCTGGTGAAATTAACAGTTACTTTGTCCATATTTACCTTTGAGAAGTAAACTAGAATTTTTTTCCTAAAGGATTTATAATTGAGGAGCTAGTAATATGCACTTTCATTTCTTAATTTTGAATATTTTTTGAGCAAAATGTGTCTTGGTGGAAATGTCTAGAGGAATGATAGAACTTCCATTAACAGAGGCCATTCAAATTTAAAATATGCCTTTATATATTTTTTTTCATATTTTTGTTATGGGGCCTTGGGGCATTTCTGATTCTGCAGATGATCCCTGTATGTAAAATTGTTTGCAGGATCAGGATCTTTAAAATAAAAGATCTTTCCCCTTCATGTGGCATTTATTTGGACTAAAATCAAGG